GTTTGACTCAGGAGAACAGAGGAGGGCTTAGCAAATACCACAGCTTTGCATCTGCCAGCTTCACAGAACTTCAAGATACTGGTCTGGTAGACTACATACACACATACTTACCTAAGTATGTAGTATAGGACACTAAGTGCCACAGGCAACTTTGTTAAGTTACTTTACACCAGAAAAGGTAACAGAATTTAGCAGAAAGCTTGATACTGAAAGGAAATTGAACTGCTATTAACTGCATCGCTTTCCACGGTCATTTCTTTGAGGTTATTTGGATATAGGCAGTTTGCAGACAGACATACAAAACATTACTTGCAATAAGAAGATGCAAAACAGTGCAGATAAAGTTAGCAACATTTAAATCTCGGCATGGCAACTGTTGCAGCAGACATTTGGCCCAACAATAATCGGAGAAGTGCCACCCATTCATCAAAACTGGATCCGTTTATAGGCATATACCTTTTTAACATTAAACACCTGTGTCATGGATTTCAACTGAAGGTTTCATCACAGATATGATGCCTGAAAAGGCATGGTCCTCTGGCATCTGCTGGTTTCAATAAATTGTCATGTTCTTATAGAAGAATACACCAACGTGAAGTTAACAGTCTAATTAATTTCAAATGGAATGTAGTACCTCAAATGAAACACAACTGTACTTTATTTTAGTTAGATCCATACAGATCTAGGTAAAATGGTGGTATCAAAACTCAATCCTGAATGAGCAATCCACAAAACTCCCAGATTCTTTGGATTGGAGATTCTCAAACTGTAAATAAGGAGTCCTAAAGCTTCCTACAGAAGCATGCAATATAAGTTTATCCTGCAGAAGATATAAAACAACAAAGGCTACATGCCTCCATGGAGGCAGATTATAAGGCTCACACAAGATACTATGTTCTAAACTACTGCAAATCATCTGATTTACAGTAACTATCTCTGTGTATTCTTTACCCACAGCAAGTGTAAAACAATTTGAATTAAGAACACCACAGTTATTTGGAAAGTAAATTTCCCAAGATCTGTTACATACTGCAGAGCTGCTAAGACCCACTGCTTTTAATAAAGCTTTACTCCACAAGGCCCAATCTGTCTGCAACAAAGAAGGAACATCTCTGCTAGGTCTGAAAACAACAGAAGAGGTAGCAGACAGCTCAGACACAAGACTCAGGCTTATTGCCAAACCGATCATAGTTGGTTGGCTGATAAAATCTTCATGCTTGTTATTTAAAGACCATGGAAGAAAGCACTGGTTTGTAAACTCCCAAGAGGGACTACCACTGTTGACCAGTGGCATAGCTTTGCAACCAGAGCACACCACCTTGAAAGGAGCTTTAGTTTATGCAGTACTACTTAGTAATGCAAGGCTGAAACAAACTATACAGCCGTACCCCAGTTTCAACAAAGTAGACACTCCTGAAATACAGTTTTTAGCAGTTTGACAGAGTAAAGCCACTTCACCCACAAAAATTAGTGTAATAAATGGGAGCTATATGCAGCAAAGAAGGTGCTGCCATTTCCTAATGGAGAACGTCACAGAAGATTTAATCACCACCAGATTTCATTGCTATCACTTTTCTTGATTAATTCAATGGAAAAGGACAGAAAAGTGATGTGATCATATCAATTAACACTGCACTGTATTAAATGATCAGCAACAGAATTCTGAAGTGGAGAATAAAGAAGCAACAGATATAGCAAGGTGTTACTGTACTTGAGTAACTAAATCTAGTTCTCTCACTGCGATCACACTTCCATTTAACATTTAAGCTCACACAGAATCTACATGAAACTAGCTCAGATATGTGGCAGGCAACACAGATCAGCCATGCTGAATTTCTTGCAAAGAAGCAAGCAGTTGATACCATTTAGAGCAGTGTGCTCCTCTGCAGAGCTCACTGGCTGGTGATGGTTAACCTTCCCTACACAGCCTGCTCTGTGAAGTGCTAAGCACACCAGCACTCCAGATGCTAATTGCTACCGCTCCCCTGCGCCTGCCTTTCAAATGAGGAGAGAAAAAAAAGTATGTTACAAGGATCGTAGAGACACTAAAGATGAAGGAGGACTTAAATAAAAACCATTTGAATTTGGCAGATGGATCACGATGTCGAGAGGTAAAGTGTCGTTAGGGCATAAACAGCCTTCTTGAGGCAGAGTGCGGAAGATTCCCTTGTAATATCACGAAGTAGCTTAGGGGAGAGGAGTTAATAGGTTTAAAGACTTTCTCCGCCTGGCAGGGCCGTGCGGGAGCGCTGCCTGGACCGCGGGCTCGGGCCGGGCGCGGCATGGCCGGGCCTGCAGCGCCCCCGCGCGGCCCCCGCGCAGCAGCGCCGCCCGAGCAACGCAACCTCGCCGCCGAGCGCAAAACCCCGCTGGCATCTGATAAACACGGACGGGGGGCGCCGGCAGGAGCTGCTCTTTTATCTCATTTACGCTGCTGCTTTAATTCAATACAAAAAAAAGTTAAATTTAACAGCAGATAAAACAATCAGATTCAGGCTACACACAGACGCCGGCCTCTGCCTTGGCTGTCTTATTTGGTATTTCTCTTGCCTCAAACGCTGCCATTCTGCACTTGGGAGCAACGTTTGCTATTCCATACCAGTTGTTACCCACACATACACCTACTTATTTAGTTATGCACACGATGGACATGTAAAATCATCCGATTATTTGTAGAAGGCCATGGTGCAGGACTGCTTAGAAACATTACAATCTATGAAGGGCAAACTTTTATTTTACTGCAATATTTACATAGAACAGTACTTCCAATTCCCCTCCTTTGAGAAGGGCAGTAAATTCGCTGTACAAGATAGGAAATGAAGTTACTATGATGCAGTCTGGGGAAATAATGGATTGTGCTAGACAGACAGACTCTGAAGAGCCTTCCATCCCTTACGCACTCATTACCAGAAGGCAAGCAGACACAGTCTCCAATTCATAGATCCCAGGAAACATGTAGTCACAACATTGTTTTATGCATTGCAAAGCATCTGATATAACTAGGGAAGCGCTGTCAGAAGAAACCAGAAATCTGAAGACCAGCAAAGATAAGAAGATGGTACTCTAAGTGGTATTTAGAACTTCAGAGTTCTTTTTCTTTCTTCAGATATTTGCAATGATTCCTGCAACTACATGTTCTTTATAGTAATTGTGATTGGTCTGTTGGTAGACAGCAACTTCTAAAGAACACGTCTGTTACTCAACTCTACCAATACCCAAAGTCAGCTATAAATTCAGCATAATCCTTTGGATTGCTCTCCTTCAGGATAAACTCTTCTATTTCTTCTCCCAAGCAGACTCTAGTTTCAGTTGTGCTCTCAACATCCTCCCTATTTTGCTACTCTTGAGGTGTAAATTCAAAAGGTACATACTGAGCTCAGACTTTATCTACTGTATCACTGCTTAACCAAATCAGCTCACCTGCTACAGTTCTTTTTCCTCACATCAGCGAAGTGGATATATCCAGACCACATACTTCTCCCAGACCATCCAATAAGTCACAGAAGTAGAATGTTTATACCAACATATTTCATTGCCATTCAAACCAGCAGGGTTGCAGGCAAAAGCACTTACTTTCATTTTAAAAAGTTAGTTTGCAAAAATAATGAGCCACACTGAAAAAACCTCTTTTGATTATACAAGTCAAAGCCACAGTCCAAAATCTAAACCTATTCCTGATAAACTGAGACAAGATGGATCTTAGTCTCCAGGCTCATGTAATCATCAGTTTAAGCTAGTGACCAGAATTCTTATTTCAACAACAGTCATTACATGCTGACTTGGCATTACTTACAAAGAAAGGAGGGGGAGGGTATATTAATATTATATCCTCCATGTATACATAGAATCATCACAACATCCTCCACATTTATTTCCTTCTGGTTTTGTAAGAGTTGCAAAAGAAACCTACCTTTCACTTACCTCTATATGCTGTAATTGTCACCAAATAGTATATGAAATGGCAGAACAAGAAATTACAGCTTAATAAGAAAACTTTAACAGAATGCTTAGCAAGAAAGGATGGGAGCAGCAACTTCCTAAAACCATCCATTTAGTTCATATTCCCTTTAAGAACAGCTGTCAGTATAAATGCTGTATCAGCACCTTTTTCTCTTAAAGGAAAAATATAAAACACATTTATGTTTCCCAGAGACATGTCATGGTATTTTAACAGTAAGCTGCTAATAACAATCTCAGCACTCTCTGGGGTGTTTAAGCCATCTACAGTGATTATGAGTGATTGTGCTTTAGAAGCCACTGAACTGAAGACAAAGCTCAGGATGTATCATCACTTGCAGCAATGTTAGCAGCTTCTGTTCAAAAGAAAGCAACACCTCTTTTGCTGCGTATATACAATGTCTGTGACTTTTGCACAGTGGGAAAAATCTGTTCCCTGTATAAATCCAGGGCATGTCATTGCAAACAAGGTTTTTAATTAAAATTGGCATTTCTGAGCCTCCTGCTGACGGACAGCATCTCATTGCCTCCTCCTCAGATGGCTAAACTGGCTTCCAAGAGAGACAGTGAAAAGAAAAAATCACTAGAATACCTAACTTTGACAAGTCTCTGCTGGGGACAATTTCAATAGCAGGATGCTGCAGAGAGAGGTAAAGAGAGAAAAGAGGACTACCTAGGAAGTCTCCCCTAATGAAGACTCAAAACATCACAAACAAGACAGTAGAGGAAGCATTTTATTCCTAAGCCTGAAGACAGAATGATCAAGCAGGATAATTTTAATCAGAAGCCATATTGTTAAAGAGAATGCAGAGCTATGTCTGCACCTCAGTGGGTAAAGCCTTCTTCCGAATGCAAAAGAAGGCTTAGGGGCTGGCTAGACCTCTGGCTGGGAGGCTGGCTAAACTGTCAGCTCTCACAAAGCTTTATCCCTCTCAGAAAACAGGCAGATACAAGTTCAAGTCAGACAGAGAAATCAGACTTCTTGGCCAGAACATTTTTCTCAGTTGATTGCAAAGAGTTTATATTGACTGCCAGCACTGTACCTTCGGGAGGCTCTTCCCGCAGATGAGGAGGCAATTCTTCACCTGTAGTCTCAGTTTCATCATCCACCATCTGTGTTTCTAAACTAGGGCCCTGCAGAACAGAACAGCAAGAGGGGGTAAATTGCAGAAAGATCAGACAGGAACCACAAAAATGGTTACAGGACTAGAGAATATGCCAGACAGCAAGGAGACAAGGAGCTCACTTCAACTCATGAGAAAGAAAACTGCTGGGAAATTTGTTTGCAGTCAAATTCCAGAAAAGGAAAAGTGGGGAAAAAAAAAAAAAAAAAGAGGACTTTTCAAGATAGCATGCAAAGTTACAATGGTCTTAAGTGACTGAAAATGAGAAAATTAACAGTGAAGCACAATACCTAAACTACTATTTCCAAACACATAATGCACTAATAAATTAAAATTTCCATTTATCAAGGACAGCAGCAGATCCACCATCAACTAGAGTTTTCAGGAAAAAAACCCTTATCTTTGTCTTATCAAGACTAGATTCTGAAATGCCACTTTTTTCAAAGGAAAACAAAGCAAACTGGTTAACAATCTTCCAACTTATGCAGGTCCATTGACCATGGAGTTTTCCGCTACAAGTCCAACACATCCATTTGTGCCTCTAAGTGTAATATGCCAAACTAACCATTCCTGAAAAACTACTGGACTACCCTCCCAGGTTTTGCATTTCCATGTTCCAGCCTTCTTGATCCTGTAAAGAGCCTGCAGTGTTACTGCTGGAAGAACATGAGCAGAGTCAAAAGATTTGCAGCTGAACTCACTTCACACACACAGTATTTTCATGTGGAACTATAAAAGTGTAGTTGCTCAAACTATCACAAGAAAAAAAAATACCATCTTCTTCTCTCCAACTTACTTTCTTTTTTTTAAGTAACAGCAGAGTAAGCACTAGGCATAGCTAGACGACTCCTTTAAACAAAAACGTAACTTCCTTTGCAATGTTAGTACAGTGAAGAGTGAAATGACAAACTTAGCAGTCATTAGGAAATGAAGCTTTTGTGCACTTTGAAAACATGACTGGGTTTGTAGTCTGAACTATCTGAAAATGTGTACTAACATACGCAGCTGGAATGCTACAGAAATACAGCTGGTACATCAACAGCTTGCAAAATGTTATTATTTGAACTCAGGAAGAAAAGAAGCTCACAGTCCTAAACAAAAAGTACCATCACGCTTTTCAGATGTTTTACAGCATGGAAAACAGAGACCACCCAGGTGAAGTGTACAGGTCTACTGTGATGGTGCTAGGGTCACAACCTGGATTTCTGCCACCTGTGACTATGCAAGTTTTACCTAGGCTATTTACCTATTTCTCCTCACTTAAAAATGACCAGTATCAACACTGCCCAGCTTTGGTCAGTGAACAGTTCAAGCAAGTCATGCCTTGTAGTAGCTATCACAGAAAGGGAAAAAAAGTGTTTACTACATGGCACAGATGGGAAAGCAGTAAGTTGCCTTAGTCCAATTAAAAAAAAGAATTAAACCCAGGAGTCAGTAATCAACATGAAGATCTAACCATCCCCTCACTTCAACTCAATAATGTGATCCAGATTTTAAGAACATATAAACAATTCTGAATAAGAGCAACAAATTGAATATAAAGTATGTGTTTGAATAAGTTTCTACATCAACCACATGCAATATATGAATTTACGCTTCTTTCCTACCCATCAGTACCACAGACAGAAAAGAAAAAGGGAAAATGAGGCTACAGGAGTATACCAGATCAGATTATTTATTTTTCATACAAAACATGTAGACATATAAGTCATGAGGCACCATTATATGCCTTGGAAACACTGTGAACCACAGTTATGGAACTCCTAAACTAGAAGGGGTCTTGAATGTGAATCCTGTGCCTGTACTTTCTGGTTTAAAACAACAAAATTATTTTAATTTTTTAAAACAATTAAGAGTCATCTGTACATACTAGCTATATCCTACCCAAGGAGACAATCCAACTTCCAGGGACTATGGAAAAGCCAGTAAGGAAAGTATTATCTTTTCTTCAAAACAGTCAGTATTCTCAATTTCCTACGAGACAAACCTGCTCAGTAGCTTCTCCCAATGACAGCCCATGCTAAGTGGAGCTCCCCTGGTTTACAGTTGTTGTTTGCTACATAAATACAAAAAGGATGCAAAATGCTATCAGAAGTGAGTGGTGGCATTATGGTTTTTTCCTCCTCCTGCATGAACTATTTACTGCTTGGTGTTCACTAGCAATACAACACTCCAGTATGGTGGTTATCACTGACAACACTTACTCCAAAACAAAGATTTATCCTAGCTGAAGGACAGCCTTGTACCTAAGCTAGTATTAACAATCCCAGCTATGAGAAAAACAGAGCCCATTACAGACCACTGTGAAGTCTGTGGCTGAGATGCTGTTTGCCTGACACTATCACCTATTTCCCTCCAATTCACAACTTTTAACACTTGCTACTGGAATACTACAGAAGGAAAATGCTCAGTCCAAAGCTACTACTTTGACAGAACATGCTGAATATCTAACAGAAATTACCAGAATTTTTGAGGATTTTTTTTTCACTACTCAAAAACATTTAATCATAATACGGCATATTTTAACTGTATTTGGTATACATTTCTTGTATGGTTTTGAGAATTCTTCCCAAAATAATTATTTACAATTTTTTTTTTCTCAATTTAATGTTAAAAAGGAAAACAGTCTAAACTGAAGCATGGACATGTCAAGTAATCACCAATTTTAAGTTTTTCAAGAATTGTTTTGCAAGAAACTGAAATCTTGAGATTTCCTAGTTCCTAAAATGAAGTTAGAATTGTTTTCTACAGAATATTTCTACAGAATAACAGATAATACATGTGAGTTCTTAACTCACATGTATTATCACAATATATATTCACCTGGGATACAGGGAGCTTCTAAAAGTAGTCTTGTAAACATCAGTTTATCAGATTTCAGCATGTCTGTCTAATCACTGTGGCCAGTGAGTAAGTACACATACTAGTACTGAGATTCACTAATGAAAATGTACAACAGTTAACAGTATAAGAAATTCTAGGTTCTCATATACATATCTAGCAGTAATATTTAAGGCTCAAACACTGACAGGTGTCATTAACAAGAGTACAAATAGCTCTTTTTCCTTGTGTTAGCACATCCATTGCTTTTTTAGTTATATCTGCTGAGTTCAATTCACTGGGCCTGCTGCAAGCTTGGTAACCAACATCTACCATATCTACAGTTCTGACAGCACAGTCATCTACAGCAATCAAAAAAAAATATCCAGGAAATTATCTTCTGAGAAGGTTTATAACTGTGCTAAGGTTGAATCCAACAACTTTGTCTCAACCATTCTTTTTACACTATCATTTCAAGAATGAGGCATCAGTTACATCTTCCTTATTCATTTTTAAGGATCCATGACAGACAAGTAGGGGAATGGGATGCACACAACTGTGTAAGTTATTGGCTTGCAGGTTCTATAATAATACTCTGGAGCTGCAGTGGGGGCAGAAGGAATATACACAGATTGCTTCTGTTTTGACACTCCCTCAGGAACATCTAGGATGCAAGAAGATGTATCAACAGCTCAGAAACATCAGCAGATATTATTGTACAATATTCTTTCAATTATTTAGGGTTTGTATGGCCTCTTAAATTGGGAATGAGGTTCCATTCCTCACTAGAACCACTGGAAAAGCACAAACTTAAATAGGTGTTATTACAGAAAGTTAGGTTATGGCACAGCCTAAGAACATATAACTAAGAAAAACCTCTTGGCTCTTCAAAGACAGTCCCTGCCCTCAACAAGCAAGTACTTCATACAATTCCTTGATGACTACTTGACTGTGAGCACTATTAAGATTTAGTGGTAATTTTTCTATAAATGTCATTTTAACACAATCTCCAGGCTGAACAAGAACAAGTAAACTCAACAGAGGCAACACCCACCCTTTCAAAATGAAGTTATAGATGTGAGATTTCAAGGCAGCTCACTCCCTGCCAACAGTTCCAATGAACTCTTAAGGAAGCTGAAAAGCTTTGTATCAACTCAGCAAATGATAAAGATCAAGAGAAAAATCATATAGGAGTTCTCACATAAACTACCTGAGAAACATACAATCCCCTGTTCTGATCACACTACTTGACTACTGACCTTACAATGCAGTTTAACCCAAATGCTGTGGACTGCTGTGACCTGGCAAATTAGTGTTTGTGGATTTATAATGTGTTTCATAGACGGCTATGCATTTATGGATAGAGAGGACTGCCAGTACTGAACTAAATAAGTGTGACAAATTGCATACAAGTATTCAGAGTATACCTCATGCTCTTCCACAGGATACAATATTTTGAGAATAATTCTGACCAGAACTTTAACTACATGCTCAGATTTTCAGTATATTTGAGGATTGTATATTTGACAAGTGCTGCAGTAAATGCATG